AATTTTTTTAAAAAAATAATTATATTATTTTTAAAAAATTAACTATTTCATTTCGTTAGGAACAAGTTGCAGATATCATAAAAAAAATTACAATTACAATATATTAATTTTTAGCTGTCGAAAACCTTAAATTTTATAAGAAATTGCAAGTGTACGAACACTTTTGTGGCCCACTGTACATATTTATATTAATTGTAACTATTTAATAACAAGTAGCTAAAATAAAAATTTTCTTTGTTGATCTAAGTAGGAATTGACTTAATTTTTTTTTTACATTGCTTATTATAAAACAATTTGTAGATGGTGGCTAATGTAATTAACACCTGCTTGTTCCAGAAAATGATTTTTAACTCAAACATTTTAATAGATGTTAGAAATCATTTTCAGAACAATCAGTAGTTTTCTTTTTGTGTGTTTTAAGAGTATTTATTCTACATTTTAGAATAAATGCTTCGCTACTATTAAGAAAACTTTTGTAATGATTTTAAAGAATCATCTATTGGATTAAATGATTTTCTGTTTTTGCGTATTTCTCTTTGTGTTTACTTTTATTCATTCAACACAAATATTTTTTAAAAGATATAAGGTTGCAGTGTACAAATTATACAACTGTTCGTTCTTATTGCTCAAATTGTAAGACTAATTTACATTTTTACTATGTAACTCTATTTTTTTATTTTTTTTTCCCTACAATTCGTTTTTGTCTCTTCAGTTACATTCATCATTGAAGCTGCATCGTCCAACATTTCATTGATAAAGTCATGAGATTTTGACAAACTTGCAACTTCCTGGAAAGTTGAGTATTTAGTTCCGTTGATTGTTAATAAGTCAAGACAACACCTTTCCTCTCCCGAAACAATTCCAGTCCAGGCAATCGTTGAGACATTTTTCAGCGAGAGCTTGCAATAATGTTCTATCGCAACCGTATTGCCAACATTATATGAAACGAAGTACATGGTCACCAATTCTGCCCGTACGACACATGTGAAACCGGGGTTGCTAACTTGGCGAATTATCTTGTACTTTGGCATTATTGCAATAGTACGTAATAAGTTTATTACAGCATCACGAAATTTTTTTTTATAGAGAGAGATAAAAAAGATGCAAAGGAAGATTGATATTAATTATACGCCTCCTATACATTCAATTTGTAACGAAAATATTTTCCGCTGTTAGAAACCGTTACTTTAGGGCATAGTTAAAAAAAAGTCGCTCACACACACACACACACACACTCATTTGAATCTTACACTTGTCTGTTGTTGAGACTCTAGAAGGTACTAATCTTTTTCAGCTTGATACATATTTTGTAGGTCTCTAGCTGATGTTTTTTCATAACCTAAAACAACCCGTAATCATTCTCAAATTCTCGAAGGATTATTTGTAGTAGTTAATAGGTTATTTATCGCAAATACAATGAGCTAAATTCACAACGGTCACGTGACAAATGCTCTCACGTGTTCCTCATTGAATTCAAAACTGACAGTCGCCTTGTACTTGGTGTTCTACTCGTAAAATTTGAAATTTGTTAAAGATGTTGAAATATTAAGATTTTTTCAAAACCTTTCCCAAAATTTTAAAAAAAAAATTGTCATACTATACGTGTATTTTAAAATCAAATGCTTTCTGTAAACCAATGTGTGTTAGTATTGTAGACAAATATGTACTTTTTAAAAGAAAGATTCCGTATAAAGTAAAAATTAGCAACAGCGAAGCACATGAACTGATTGGCTGGAAATACGAGATGGCAATTATCATGTTGCTACAACCGTTGTATGTACTTAATCACCATTACAATCACATATCATGTATTGAAATATGTTCCATTGCTTATATGCCTATTTTTTTTTTCAAAAAGAATATACATTTACTTTTCGCAATTCACTTCGCATAACGCTACAGTGTATGAGGTAAATAACATTCCTACATAGAAAACATCTTCACGTTTGAAAATTTTAATAGTGATTATTTTATGAAACAAGTAATATAAAAAAAAATTTAAGTCAATTCCTACTTAGATCAACAAAATAAATTTTTTATTTTAGTTACTTTTATTAAATAGTTTTAATTAATATAAATATGTAAATACATATGACAGAATCACAACATTAAGAGGCAATTAATTTTTATTAATTATCATTAAAGTATCGTATTTTCATCCAAAAGAATCGTGTATATAAAATTTCAGTTCAACTGAATGCTTTAAAACGTGAGAAAAATAATCTTTTAACTAATTCTTTAAATAATTAGTTTCAGTCAATTAATTATGATTAAATTATCATTCACCCAAAACAATAGTGTATGGAAAGTTTCAGTTGAAATGAGCGTTATAAAATGTGCGAAAAAAAAACAAACCTTTTAAGGTTTTGACACAAGTCACCAAAATGGTCGCTAAATCGCCAAAAATGATGCCAACGTGGTTGTATTTGTAATTCTTTGAATAATTAGTTTTAATCAATTAATTTTTTATAAATTATAAATAAATTACTGTATTGTCATCCAAAATAATCGTGTATACAAAATTTCAGCTCAATTGAGTGCTTTAAAATGTATTTTATTAACGATTGAAAATTTGAACAAGATAAATAAATATATAAATATATAGAGAGTGTGAGCTATAATAATAAGAATTGAAAAAGAAAGTTAAAATCCAATGGGCTAAATTCATATGACGTTATAGTCACTTGAATAACTACAAACATGTGATAACTACAAATCACATGCTTCCAGCCAAACAGTTCATGAGCTTCATTGTTGTCAATTTTCACTTTTTGTATAAGGGATGTTTAAATAAAAAGGTACGAAACGTCGCAACAAAGTAACGGTTAACATATCTGCCTATGCCATAGCGAAACATCTAGGGACGCGAATGGAGTCTCTGACAAGGATCGGAGCATGAGCTGGTTACCGCATGCGCAGGAGAGAGCAGAGGCTCTTATAAGAGAGCAGTCCAATTGATGTTACTTGTTGAATTCCTCTAGTACAGAAGAACCATTAGCTCCGATGAGTACTGTGAGATACACCGAAACCTACGCAAGTTCATCAAGAACAAAAGACCTGGGCTGCTCTCAGAGGGTGTGGTTCTGCCACTGCTTCCACACGTCTGCAGGATCACACGCGCGGAGCTGGCTAAGTTCAAGTGGGAGCAGCTTGACCATCTACCCTACCACCCAGACATGACACCCTACGATTTCCATGTGTTTGGTCCCCTGAAAAAACATCTAAAAGGGAGGTACTTCAACTCGGATGACGTACTCAAGGACGCTGTAAAGAACTGGGTCTCGTTACGGCCACAGGAATTCTGGGAACAAGGTATCCTTCGGCTCGTTGCTCAATGGGATCGTTGTGCTCGGGCCTATGGTGTATACATTGAATAAAGTCTTCATTTATACCCACAGTGTCGTTTTTACCTTTTCATTCGAACACCCCCGTAGATTCTTTTTAAAAGCATGTATTAGTAAACAGTAATAATACTCATAGGTAAACAAAATGCACTTGATTTAAAAGTACACGTATAATAAAAGTATTTTTTTTTTCTTTCTTAATTTTGAAAACTTTTTCCAATTCCTACAATTACAGTTCACACTCTCCCTATATATATATATATATATATAGGCCAATTCTCTACAAACAAGAGATAACATCCAAACAATAACATTCGACAAACACATAGACAGCAGGAAAATCACACAATGAAGGACAAAAGAGTAATCGAGATTATAAATATAAAATGGATGCTGCAGTGTTATGAACATTACTGACTTAGGACAGCTGTTATATAAGAAATAATTTATATAAAAGTGGGGTTGAACATGTTTTTTGGCCAACCAACCTTCCCCCTTTTTTTGTAAATAACACTGAGCAAAAACCAATAGGAAATAATGGATAGGAATATCTAAATCCATTACAAGATAGAGGTAACTTACCTAAAAATTGTACTTACAAATGCAAAACCCGCGCTAAATCTTTAGTGCAAACATTAATTTGTTGCCAGATTCTATACCCTAATACAGATTTAAATCAAAAGAATGGCTGAAATGTAGCACTTAACACAAGATTACAAATGGAAATAAAAATTAAAAATAGTTGCATATTATAGCATAACTATAATAACACCAGAGTAAATATGAATATAAAATAATAGTAATTTCTAATCTAATATTAGATTATGGAGATAACTATAACAATAAAATATTTAAGTTTATAGTAATAAACTATTATCACAATCTCAGAATTTTAATCCTAACTATTTTGAATAGCTTTATTTATATAACTATTAATAAAATTAATTGGGTATTTCTGATTTAAGCAATATTTAGTAAAATGTTTATAGTTATTTATAATGTCTGATTTTTTTGACACAAGAAATTTATTACGTTGTATATAATTAATAACAATATTTCTGAATATAGAAACATGTACATTACTCTCCCAATGAGGAACTTTTATAATATTGAAATTAAATTCTTCTCTTTTATCATAAATATTAGAAACTATAACATTTTCATATAATTTGACATGTATGTCAAGAAAATTTGCTTCATTGTTGTTATTATTTGTCTGTATTAAATTAAGATATTGTGGATAAAAATTAATGTTAGATATAAAATTGGCTTGTTTGCCAAAAATGATTATATCATCTATATAACGATAAATATAATATTTAGAATTATTAATGTAACTACTTTCAAAATAATATAAGTATAAATTGGCAAGACAGTTGCCAATATATATATATATTGTAGTTGCCAATATATATATTGCCAGTATATATATATATATATATATCTTGTTTAAATTTTCAATCGTTAATAAAAAACTTTCTATTCATCCACTCAAGTTCAAACACATTTTTTTAAACTTGTAGTGGATGATGCTTGATGTTAATACAGTTTTTTAAATATTAATTCATTAAGTAAATTTAATTAATGAATAAATAGTAACAAACAAACAAAAATAACAGTCCAACACGATAAATAAAAAGGAAAGTTGCTCGTTGTATCCTAGTAGTGTAATAGATAGCGCGTGGGACTTCTAATCCGAAGGTCGTGGGTTCGGATCCCACCTGGGATGGCCTAATTTCTGAGAATGCGACTTCTTTTTACAATACTATTTTATTGGAATAACTAAAAATTTCCTTACGAATAAATAGTAACACAAACGCAAAAACAATATATAGTCCAACATTATATATAGAAAGGAAAATAGTAAGTTGCAAGGAAAATCCTTTTCTATTTCGCCACTTAATATTGTGATTCTGTCATATGTATATACAGATTTTTATTAATTGTAATTATTTAAGAAAAAGTAACTAAAATAAAATTTTCTTTGTTAACCTAAGTAGGAATCGGTTAATTTTTTTTATATATATATTTTACTTGTTTTGAAGAATCTTAATATTTGAACATCTCTCTACCAAATAACCAAATTTGAAGTATTATTTAAATTTTACAGGTAGAACAATAATTATAAAAATAATGTCAGTTTGACATTATTATCAAACTGAGTTCAATGGAGAATACGTGATGGTACCTATCACGTGGCCGTCCTGAATTGTTGCCCTTTACTATTTTAACGTGCCTTATTAAGCCGATGCATTCATAAATTGTGTCAGAAATTTCCATCACTTAACTATTAGATTAGAAACATACAAGACATTTAAAATTTATGAAATGATTCTCTGATAAACAGATACATATTCCGAATTTTAAGACAACATTACCAAAACTGATCAGTTCACATTCTGACAAAGATACTTAACCCCATAAAGCGAGACAGACGCAATAATATACGAGCACATTGGCGAGAATTTTACATGGAAGTGCCGTGGATCACGCGAATTCTTGTCCGGCACTAAAGCGTCTTCGGTGGGGATGGGGGTAAATTTTTAGGAAGAGTTCTTCTGGAATCGCCACCGAGTGTTCATTTTCCCATGCTTTGTTTCTGTTTGGATTGCGAGGCGGTCTTTTGTTGCGCTGGTTACTTGCTCTTTGCACTTAACCCACATTTTGAAACACAGAGGGAACTATTGTTTGTTTTCTCTCTCAGGAAAGTTCTTAATACACTCGTCAAAGAGGAGCATCAACGGTAAATCTAATAAACACGATCGGAAACTCCCAAGGATTTATGAGCTTCCCGTGAAATGCATCAAGAAGTATATCGTTCGGATCATAAGTTTGAAATGGGGACCATAAATAATGCGGATAGTGTTACTTTATGGCTTTTGAGATATATCTTGAGCTTAAATACACACCAAAAGGGGTCTAAAATGAGTTTAAAAATCATTGTAGCAATTTATAATATGTACTGAACTAACGATACATCGATGGCAATTTTATAATAAATCAAGCCAAACTCAAATTTAAATTTCAGAGTGTAAAAATGGAGTTGTAATAGCCTAAAAGCTGTGTCACGTATTCTAGATTTGATTCTATGAAATAGTCAGAGTAGTTAATAGTTATAATCACCAACACTGTCTTATTTGAATCTTAATTCCTTCATAGGATCGTAGTGTGAAGAAACGGGGACTATTGTATGTTACATGGAAATACATTAGTGTTCAGAATTAAGAGAATATGCATAATATTTGTCAAATTTCATGAAGACTTGAACGAAATGTAAAAATATTGCTTTGAAACAAAGATTCAAATCTTGTACGTGGAATACAGAAGCTTATGCGGGCGTGTGGGCACAACAGTCGAGAAACTGATTTACAAGCACGTGTGCCAAATTCAGCATTTCTTTCACTAGCACATTTCGTTGAATTTCTTGGAGATTTTGCCGCAATCGGTTAAATAAAACTTCAAACAGTAAAAGTGAGCAACCACCAACAACGTTTAGCTCTTAGCGAATTGTAGGGAAGGCTTCAAACATGTAAGTCTCAAATCCAGATTTGTAGGGAATTTAATTTAACGTCCAGCGTCGTGTTCAGCTAGTGTAAACTGTTTCAGAATACCAAATTCGTTGAGAGAAAGCCTGGGCAAAGTCGTCCAAGAGCAACGACTACCAGAGAAGATCACCATTTGTCCATTATAGCGAGGAAAAACATGGATGTTACAGCTTCTCAGCTCTCTCATGAGTTGCATGCGATCCATAAGACTTTATGAGAGAGGGTTGTTTGGATCCTGCTCAGTTCTGCGAACAGGAGAGTCCATTTAAAATGGTGCAGAGATTGGAGCATGGATCAATGTTTTCTTTTCCCGGTACATTCTAATCAGGGATTCTCGCTGTAATTTCATATGGGGAGAACCAGGGACCAGTTACCTGCCCTCCAATGTTAAAAAAAATCGACTATTACGTGCAACGAAGGCGAGACGGTCTGGGTAGGCATCATGTTGGATGGCTGCGCACATATCCATGTCTTTAAAAGAGGCACAGGGATGCTGAGAAGTACAGGGATGATGTCTTGTAGCGCTACGTTAGCCTTTTCAGGGGTTCAATTGGCTACTATTTCATTTTAATGGACAACATGAGGCCACATACTACAGCTCATCTGGTCGACGAATTTTGGGAAAGTGAGGATATTCGTCGAATGGATTGGCCAACCCTATTATGCCTGTAAAACATAAAAGGGTTATGCTCTACGGGCATAATAGGACCCTATAGAGCACGCCTGGGACGCTCTGGGGAGGGCAATTTCAGTTCGCAAACCTCTTCAAAGAACCATCCAAGACCTGAAATCAGCATGGCTGAACAAATGGCACCAATTGCCACAGGAATTTGTAAAATCCCTTATTTCCAGTATAAAATCACGATGAGAGGCCTGTATTTCTGTAAGAGGGGACTATACTCCCTTATTAATTAATTTTTTTTGTTATATTCTGCAACCACTGTCTCATACCTTCCGATTCCGATGAGTGTTATGTACGAACATGCGTGCATATTATTTATAACTGTGGAATAGTTATTTATTTTGAATTATATCAACCCTATGTACAAACCAAATTCCATTACAATCTGTCCAGAAGTTCTAGAGATTATCGACTTAATCTGAAAATTCTCTTACTTTTGAACACCAGTTTAAGTTTTAGATTCCTCAAGCAGCGTGTTGTGGAAGTTAAGAGAATGAAGCACCAGCTCAAGTTTCATCATTGTCTGATCATGATTCAAAATTACTTTTAAAAATACTTTTATGGGGCTAAAACGAGGAAATTTCACATAATAATTCAGTCATGAATAATCAGTAGGTGGAATTATGAGTTTTGCTGTGTACACTAAACTTAAATTGCGCTATAAAAATCCTCACGAAGCGAAGGAGGTGGAATAGGGGAGGAAATGACAAGATTTGGTGTTGTCCACGTCATCTGAAAATGGTTAAAAAATACGAGGTCCGCTGCCAATACAGCATTAATTTTAAAATTTGAATTAAATCGTTGAATAAGAGAGTTACACATTTCATTAGTTTTATCCAGGTCTCAAATCTTCATGAAGTGTGACGTGAAAATTTGAAAGATGATTCAGCATGCTGATACAATGATTCTTAGTTTTCATAGCCCAAAATGATATTTCTATATGTAATGTAAAGGGGTAATTTTTCAAAAATTTATTACCAAATATCATATAATATCTTTTGATATCATTTCTAGAACATAGCATGGTCTTGCTTCTTCAACGTATTATTATAATGAAAACCAAATTTCAAAAATTAAAATTAAAAAAAATTTATATATATATAAGTGTCAAAACAATTTAAGAGGACATGGTACGCTTTACACAAAAATCTTTGATTTAATGGTTTTCAAAATTTTTTGATTGCCCCTTATGTACATGTATTATGTAAAATAGAGTCTTTGTTTTCAAAATACCTCAAAAACTAACATTTTTTTTAAGGAAAAATTTTAAAATTTATCAAAGGATTTTAAAATGCTACTCCTACAATAATTAATGTTCATATATGAAACTTGGTTTACAAGTACGTAGAACTATGCATAAAATAAGTTCGCATGGTTTTTATGATAATATGATTGATTTTCGTAAATTTCTTTTTTTCATGAATGCTAATTGAAAACACATTAAAAATGCATAAATAATATATTCAATTAATTTTTGTAAAATAAGTATTGTTTTGATTAAAAAATGCATACCAACTTTTGTTGCATGTACTGGTAGTACTAGTTAGAAAAACAATCAAAGCATTTGGCACAAAAGAAAAAAAAAGTTTTAGCATTTTAAACGAAGACAAACTAGTTATTTTTTTTCTGAGATAAATCCGCTTAAAGTTTTTATTTGCTATTAGGTTGTGAACACAAAATTGAATATAAAAGTTGACATAACTCAGAATTTTTTTGAGCTCTTAGAGCTTTCAAACTTTATGAGACTACAGAGAATGTACTAAGAATAATTTAGGCTAAGAAAATTAGATTGATTTTTTGACCGATTTTTGTCAATTGAATTGTACTATATGTCCTTTTAATATAAAGAAGAATGCACCAGAATGTTTTTAAATCACAATTTTATTGAATAACAATTTACCAATACAGAGATTAGAACATAAACCGAATATTTTTATTTTTATTTTACAAGCACCATAAATTAACAAAATTTATATATTAAATACAAAATTTTCAAAAAAGTCTTGAGTAACAATAAATAGGTGTGCATTTTAAAATTTTAGGTTTGACATATAATAGATAAAAAAAAAAGAAAAAAAAAAGGAAAATTAAAACAAGACATTTTTTCTTTCCATAACAGTGTTATCAAACATTCCATCTTAAATTTTTATCCTTTTTTTTTTGAAGAATACAAACCACATTAAATACAAAGGAAACGAAGTTTCTGCACATCAGCGTGGCGTCTTTATTGTACAGTTTCATGTTAATCAATACATAGAATTTAGAATTTATCTCCACAAATAAAGGAATCTATCCTTTTCTCTACAAAAAAGTAATTTTCTTACAATATAAACAATTAAATAAAGAAAGTAATAACTTAAGAGATGGACACACAGCAAAACACGAAGTCGTTATTTTACCTAAGTTACGACCAATACAAAAATTTACAGCAGTTACAGTTATAAATATATTAAAACAATTTCACTCTCAATAAATTCAAATAATAAACACGAAGCATATTTC